CTCTGCCTGCCTCTCTGCCTACTTGTGATCTCTGTCAAATAAATAAAATCTTAAAAATAAATAAAAAATAAATAAAATGATAAGAGAATGTAATGTACATTGTATAGTTGTTATACTATTCTGAAATCTAGAGAGAAAAAATTACACATTCATACTCTCAGAAAGACTTAGCAGTCTTTGGGCAAAGACTCAGTACACTGGGCATTACTGTCTGCATGTGGCAGCTGGATGTACAGTCCCGTCTTGAGATCAGGAAGCAAGACTATGTCAAGGGGACAGGCCAGCAAAAGCCTAGGATGGCAGAGCGGAAAGCTGGAAAGCTCTGGCTCCTCCATAGTGAGCTGCAAAAGCCACTGAGCTTGCAACCACTTTTCTCCAGTTGTCTTAAGTGAGATAAAAAGATTTTCTCGTTTTGTAGAGAAAAAGTAAAATAAAATACAAGCAAGAGATAGGGGAATATTTAATAAGTAGGTGGGTTTTTTAATGTACCTAAATGTACAATTCAAAAAGAAACCCAACTAGTATTTGAAAAATGGAAAGGATGTATCAGATTTAAATAAAAATGACAAAACCACAAACTCACTAATTGCCAACTATTACCACTTTATGTTGTGATCTGGAGAACCAGTGCAGGTGTGAGGAAACGGATGACGGCATTTTAAGTTAGTAATGAGCCTTCTGAAAAGATTTTGTGAAGATGTTCCAGTAGTCATAAAAATGTTCATGCCTCTGAGCCCACAAATCCCATTCCTGGGAATCTCTCCTAAAGAAATGAACTAGAATTTGCGAAGATTCACTGCAATTTTATTTATAGTATGAATAATAGGAAGAAACCAACGTATTCAACAGTATGAAAGTTATGTAAGTGAAAATTTTCATCTGAACTTCTTTTTAGTTGTGATTTAAAACTATGCAAAAAATATGCATGTGGAAAATAAAAAGGAGGGGAAATCCAAACCGATTATCATAGTTATGTTGGGATAGTGGATATAGGAATTTTCTCTCTCCTTTTCTAGTTTTTAAACTTTCTATATTGATACGGTTGGTACCTCCACAGTCATAACATTTTATTATAGTAAATTAAAGCATTCATTTGTTTTTCCTTGAAACATAATTTGTTTTCAATCTGTTATTGTCCAAGTAAAACCTGCCAGTTTTGTACATGCTGTAAATTGTATACATTTTCCAGAGTGGCAGTCTGACTTGGCATACGAGGTATATTTCTCTACTGAAAGTTGACATTTAATACTTAAATAACACTGTAGTTCAGATGACTTCAGGATCTCCTTTTGACTTTGGGCCCGGTTTAAAGATCAAGCATAAAATAAAGTCTCTGATATCCAGCAATTTCACTTTTTTAAAACATGTTGAGAAAGAAAAAAATATACCAGACTAGAAATAGAAAGGCTCAAGAAGCTCTTAGAATTGTTTAGGGGTGAGCAAAGGGAATGTGTAAGGGCTTGCGTCCTGGCAGAGGCAGTGGCCAGTAAGGAGAGGTGGATGAAACGAGAGAAACGTTACAAAGAGCAATAAAGCTGGAGCTCTGAAAGCTGGATGGGAGTGACAGCGGGTGGTTGTAGTACTGGGGTGTGTAACTGGCGTTGCTTGAGGTGACAGCTGGGTATCTGTGGGATATGGTTGCATGGGGACTAGAAATTAGGAGATATAAAGAGTAGAAACAGATTTAAGAGTCATATGGAGGCAACGGTTAAAGCCAGGGAGATGCACGCAGCCTCAGAAGAGGAGAAGCCCATTTGGGGCTGCCCACATGGGAGGGATGGAGAGGGGGTGAGTACAGTCCTCAGGAAGGGCACACAGGTTTATCTCATTAGCGTTGTCTGTTGGAGATTATAAAGTTGTAGTGGACAGAACCCATGTTGTCTGTCATACAGGGATTTCCATTGCATTAAGTGCATGTGTCAACCATGATTTTTAAAACCCTGGTCTTCTTTAATTTTCGGTTCTTTATACAAAAGATAAGTGTATAGATTTTTCAAATTTTTTTATTTATTGAATAATCAGCTGAAAGTTTGTCAGATTTTATGAAAATTTGTCAGATATGATAAAAATCAATTTTTGAGCCTTGCTTTGGACACATTTTTCAGGATCCTTTGAGATTTTCAAAATCCTGTGCATGTCAGTTCGACTTCTGAATTTGATTCTTAGTAGTAAAACATTAATGACATCATTGTCTACAGTTCAGCCCTAAAGAGTAGCGTTAAGGACATGAAGTGCTTTCTAGCCACTTGAATACATTATTCCAGCTCTTAGAATATTCTGAACTACGATCCAGACTGCTATAATTGAGTGATCTGCCTTAGAGCTGTAGGGACCATGAGATTAGCTTTCTTAAGTTTCTGGAGACATCAGTATGCACTTTGCTCAAGAGCATTTTTGTCATGTTTGTGTCAGGGGATAATTTACTTTAAAACCGGAGAACACATTTTGATGATAATCACATTGGGTTAATTCATTTAGAGTTGGTATTTTAATTCTTAAATTTGTAGGCTGTGGCAAAATGAGGTGGTTTTTTTGTCATAAAAAATGCATGGGGAGTAAGAAGTATATTTAATATATGCTTCACTCCACAAAATAACCAATAGTGCATATAGGGTTATCCTGTTTCAGCCTACTGAGGATAGAGATACTTCTGATACTAGAGATAACTTACGTTATCCTCTAGTAATTATCTGCTGCAGACTCCCAGCTTCACACTAAGAAATACCATGCTTTTAGATTCCCTTCACTCTGGGTGCCTGTGGTATTTTATGTAGCTGAAAAGCATCCTAGGCTCCACATGGGTAAAGAGTATTAGAGCTTCTTGATAATGCATTCTTCTACATTAGCTTCACATCATCTTATCATGTATTTGAGAAGAAATACTGCTTTGTCCTTCAGATTTGAGTGCAAATCAAGTAAATAAGAATCTTGCAAATGTTATCAAAGAGATTACAAACATTTGTGCCTATTAAGAGAAATGTTATCTGTACTTATTAATGTTAATCTAACATTCTATTAGTTTCTGCTAAGCTTATTTTTGAAAAATTACTTGATAAGCATTTTCTATTCAGATGACTACCCTTAGCACTTACCTCTGCCCAAGGCCTGGATGAGCTCCACTCCACAGGGGATGGCCTAGTGAAGAGATTGTTTAACAACACTGCTTTCTAAAGCTTAACAGGAAGCAGGAATTGCTCTCTGGGGTGTGGAAAGGAGATTCAGCCCAGATTTAATACATGCTGTTTCAAGATAATGGAAGTAGAATGCAGGAAACAGCCTCATAAGGTTAACTGAAATACCAGTTCTCACAACAAAAATTAAATCACATAAGTGAATTAAAACTGGTAGGACGCTTTGTAAAAGTTCCAGAGAAAGCAGGAGGAGTTGGGTGAGAGTGGGAGGGTGGGGGTGACGGGGAGGAAAACCCGTTATCTGGAATCCTGACAGTTTGAATGACAGCGGCAGGAAAGATGCAGGCCCGTTCCCCAGGGCCACGCCTCACCACTCCGTTTTCTTTGTCCTTTGAAAATGTACTGGTTAGGATCCAGTAATGTTGATTAGATCACTTTGTCAAACGTCAATTTTTAGTTATTCATGTAAATAGTACAGCCAAATAACATGTTTTTCAAACTCTTCATGATAAGCAGATACATTGAATCATCCATTTTCTTAAGCTGATTATTTTCAAGTACTTAATCCCTCTCTTTCTGGTTACATTTTTTAAATTTTAGAATTCTATAGATCAGTTGCCCTATTCATTTGAATACTGCTCCTGAAAATTTTTTTTTAATTTTTTAAAAAGATTTTATTTGAGAGTAAGAGAGAGATCGCGAGCAGGGGGTAGGGGTAGAGAGCAGGAAGCCCCATGCAGGTCTTGATCCTGTGACTCTGGGCTCATGACCTGAGCTGAAGGCAGATCCTTCACTGACTGACTGAGCCACAGGCGCCCCCGAAAGCGTTTTATAAACCACCAAACACTATATGGGTTGTAAATAGTTTTAAATAATATGTCTGCTCCATTCAAGAAACTTTCATATATTTAAAATGTTCTGATAGCCCAATACAAATGCTCTTAAAGTGAAAAACCTGTAGTACATAGTTGTCTTTTGTCAGGAACTCTTTGTAGTTCTTGGAGACACATCGTTGCGCTTCTTGGCATGCTTTTCCCAGGGTGCAGTTGTCCTTTCTGTATCAGCTTTCTCCTCATCCTGGCTCTCTTCTGAGTCTCCAATGGCTTGAGTATCAAATGCTTCCTCAGTCGTGTTTGGAAGAAGGCAGGAGCCTCCCTCACCATCATGTAAGAGCTGCTGTACTTAGGATCCGACTGGATGTTCCTGGGTCGCATCGGGTGGTGAGGGAGAAGGCCTGCACACGTTAGCTCGGACCTGTCGCTGAGCGGGGCTGGAGTGGAGTCCGCTCACCCCGACCACGTGGCTGCTACCCCCGGGGAGGACTAGAAGGACTGCAGCCGCTGTGAAAATAGGGATGGTCTTTCACTTTGATCTCCTAGCTCAGCTGACGCCCAGAAGGGCTGCACATCGAGAACATGACCACTGTGTACCCACGTCCTCGCTTCTTCTGAGAGAGAGCCTGCTCTTTTAGGAAAGTTGAAAACCAGGAATAAGATGAATAAAGTCAGACAAACCACAAATACTTAACGAAGACCTTACTGGCAGCCAGCTTATCTGATCTCCATTACCTTGCTCCCCAGAAGGACATGCCCTGTTAGAAACGGATCTTGTGTTTTAAATATCTCTCAGTAGGTCCAAGCAGTAAGACTGGAAACAAGTGGCATAAGTCTTAAGTTTTATGTGTGTTTCAAACTTGGGTTGATGTTTTTGCTTCTTTTTAAAATATTCAGAGATACACGTGGTCAGCTGCAAATGAGTTTTGTTACAAAATTTACTTGAAACTAGAACTAGGGAAAACTTGTTTCCTGTTTCTACCAACGTGTTTTAACAACTCTTTTCATATTAATGAATGATATTTCCTTTTTCCAGGGAATGGATTCGTAAACTCAAGAGCTTCTCCAAATTTGATTGGAACTACTGGTGCAAATAGTTTAGGCAAAGTTATGCCTACAAAGTCTCCCCCTCCTCCAGGTGGTGGCAATCTTGGAATGAACAGTCGAAAACCAGATCTTCGAGTTGTCATCCCTCCTTCCAGCAAGGGCATGATGCCTCCACTGGTACGTTAAATTTTTCTTCAGCCTCATTCCTCAAAAATACAGCCAGTCTGTGTTTTTCTTCGGAATTTTATGTACTTCCATTGAATCTAGACCCTTTCTTAATATTTCTGTTTTAAGTCAGCATTTGAAGACACGGGTCTATTTTAAATACACAGAAATCAGATTATAGAAAAACAGGATGTAAATATGCTTAGTGGTTATTTAAAATTAAAGTTAAACGAGGAGAGGTTGTAAGGCTTAATTTTAATTGTACCAGGCTGGGATCTTAGCTCAAAGATTCCATCACCAAATTCATAAACCTGACTTAAATATTTCTTCTGTCTCTACTTTGCATACTTTCAGTAATCGATTACACATGCTTTTCTGTAGGAGAAACACTGTATTAGTTGTTAGAAAATTCTACATACTAAAGAGAACCACTGTAGAATAAGGGACAATGCATCAAAACTTGAATGAGTTAGTGTCCACATAGTCTTTGTTCATTCCTTCTCAACTAACCTTCCCATTGAATACTATAGAGAATACAGGTCTCCCCACACTAGCCCTTGGCAATGTCTTCATAGTTCCAGTGTCCTATGCTTTTGAATCCTGTGTTTATGAAGAAGAGGAGAGTATGTTTATCTCCATTCGCTTCTTATAGGAAAAAAAATCAGAATATGTATGCAAGTTTTGAAACCATTCCTTGTACAGCATGGCTTGACTAACATGCAGTGTGATGTGCCAGGCGTTCTCTCTCCAGTGCAGCACCGTTTGGTTTTTTGCTAAGTAAAAGTTGATGCCATCAGGCTTTAGATAATCTACATATGTATAATGCTTTATCGATGCCCAAACATCTTCATATGCCTTGTCACATCTGATTGTCAATTATGCTGTAATCTTGGCTGAGTAGAGATAAGGAAACTGAGGGAGAAGTTAGTACTTGTCCAAGGTAATATAAAAGAGAGCCAGGACCAAAACCTTTTAAGTCAAAAAACAAACAATTTTTCATTTGGAGATGATAGAAAGCTGGAAACTGTGTTGCTCCCAGCCTTAAAGGAAAACGAGTTGGACAAACAAGTTCACAGTTCTCCTTGAGTAGATCATGGTGCTGAGATTTCATGGCAACCAAGTGGCCCAAACTTCAGGGAGAGACAGATAGTGTAAGGGAGAGGACATTCGAGCACTGATTTGTCTGGGTTGGAGTGGGACACAGGTAATGAGAGTTCAGCTCAGATGCCTGGGGAGTTGCTGGAGGCCAAGTGTTCACTGGCAAGACCATGTAAACCCCTAGTGCTCAGACGTAGGGGAAACCCAAGTTCTTTTGGAGGCTTTTTCTTCACGAACCCCACTGGGTGCTAACAGAAGAGATTGGGAACATCCTGAAGAAGTCTCCGCTATGATGTATGGCTGAGAAAGGGGAAGAGCAGCCCCTGTAATAGGGACAAAATGTGCTGCCTGGACCCTTCTCCCCTTTCTGTCTTGTGGACCAGAAGTGTTCATCTGTGAGGGGATGAACGACAGAAAGTGTCACCCTCCAGGCATTGGTGACCTCCCATTGTATCTCGAGAAATGGAAAAGGAAAAACATCTGAAGCCACGGTGGAGGCGCAGGAACAATGTGACCGCCAGGAGCATGGCAGGTGCCCAAGAGGCCCCAGCCCGGGGCGCAGCACCAAGAGGGGAAGGCTTCAGACTGAGAATGGAGCACACACTGGAGAAAAACCGACTTTCTGGCAAACCAGCCCTCACTTCCTGCTGCAGGGATTCGGGGCCCATGGTGGCGGCACCGAGGGTGATGATTGCACCCGTGCGCTCCAACTCAGCCCAATTCCTGACTAAATGAACTCAAACCAAGCACTAAAGACCTGTTGGTCTGTAGGTCAGTAAAGTTAACCCAAACTGCAAAACAAAGAGAAAGAAGGGTGAAAATAAAACAAAAAGCAGAACAAATGTTCCAAGAGTTGTGGACTTCTATCAGGTGCTTTAACATATTTGTCATTGGAATTCCAAAAAGAGGGGAGAGAGAACAGAACAGAAGAAATATTTGAAGAAATAATAACACCAAGTAGGACAAATACACACATATTTCAGATTGCTAAAAGCAAAGGACAACAAGGAGAAAATCTTAAAGGCAGCCAGAGGAAAGAGAAGGAAAAAGAGAATATATACCATACTTCTCTTCAGAAACTAGGCAAGCTACAAAACCGCGGAGTAACCTGCAGTGTTGGAATTCAAAACAAGAAACCCTCAACCTAGAATTCTGTATCCAGCAAAGTTGTCTTTCAGAAATGAATGAGAAATAAAAACTTTCTCAAACAAAAGAATCTGGGGAATTTATTGCTGGGAGATCTGTTCTGCAAGAAATGCTGAAGGAATTCCTTCTGCAAAGGGACTGTGATGCCAGCAAAAACTTGGATCTACACAGAGAAATATAGAACAATGGAAATGAAATGAATGAAGATAAATATAAATAAAACACAATTCATTTTCCCCTACATTTTGTAAACCTTTTATTTTAGATTACAAAGATAGTACAGAAAGTTCTAATGCTTCACACCAGTTTCTCCGATTATTAACATCTTGCATTAGTATAGTACAATAGTACTGTAGTACTACATAGTACTAAAAGGTCAGTATTGATATGTTATTTTTCACAGAACTTTTATACTTTATTCAGATTTCTTTAGTTTTTAAACCACATAGCTTTTGTTCTGGGCCCCCATCCAGGACACCACATTATACTTAGTAGGCTGTTTCTTCAGACTCCTCTTGGCTGTGATAGTTTCTAAGTCTTTCCTTGCTTTAATGACCTTGACAGTTTTGAGAAGTACTAGTAAGGTATTTTGTAGAATGTTCTTCCATTGGGACTTTTTTCCTTACGTTTTACTCATGATTAGACTGGGGTTATGGGTTTCAGGGAGGAAGGCCACAACTCAAGTGTGCCATTTTTATCACCTCATACAAAGGGTACATAGTATCATTATGAGTAATTACTGTTGTTGTCAACATTGGTCACCTTGCTGATGCAGTGTTGCATGGGTTTCTCTGTTGCAAAATTACACTTCTTCCTTTCCGTACTGTCCTCTTTGGAAAGAAGTCCCTGTGGAAGGTCCATACTTAAGGAGTGGGGAATTAGGCTCTACCTCCTTGAGTGCGGAATATCTACATAAGTTATTTGGAGTTCTTCTGAACAGGTGATTTATCTGTTTGCTTTTATTATTTAATGATTTACATTAATACAGACTTATGGATATTTATACTACTAAATTCTGTTAACATATAGTTCTACCAATATTGTTTCATTCTGTTGCTCATATTCCAGCTTTAGCTGTCGAGGACTTTTCGCTTGGTTCCAGTTCCTCTGAAAATACACCCTCATCCTTGTGGGGTTATTTTTGGCAGGGAGGGGATAATGAAGGTTACTTTAAAATTTTTCAGTTACGATGAAGTGTTCGAGGCTCATCTTATATATTTCCTGCCCCAGTCCCAGAATCAGTCATTTCTCTAAGGAACCTGGTTCCTTATTATCGGAGACTGGTATTAGAAACCAGAATCCAGGCATCTTTCTCTTTTTAATTGTTCTAAAAGATCACTACTTTCTAAAGCAAAAATAGTGGGAATGAATTTGGTGCTTATAATACATGTAAAAATAAAGTGTAGGACAACAAAAGACAGGAAGCAAAGTGTAAACACACTGAAGTCCTTACTCTATACCTAATATGATATCTACTTGATGGTAAACTCTAGTTAACTAAAGATGTATGTTATAAAACCTAGTGCAACTGCAGAAAACAATTTAAAAAGAGGTATAAAAAGTCAACAGAGGAGATAAAATGGAATTATAAAAAAGTGCTTGAATAGCCCAAGATATGGGAGAAAACAGAAAAATACAACAAAGAACAGGTGAGACAAATAAATACAGCTAGCCCAACATTGTAGATTTTAATCCAACCATACAAGTAATCACACTGAATTTGGTCGTAAACATTAGTTAAAAGACAAAATGTCAGATTGTTTAAGAAAAGGAAGGTCATGGCGATTCACAGACCTGTACCCCTGGGGATAAAAATACATTATATGTTTATTTAAAAAAAATAAATTAATTGATTTTAAAAAAAGGAAGGTCCTACTATACACAGTCTATAGAAACCCTACTTTAAATATAAAGGCATAGATTAGCAGATAGAGAAAACATACTGTGCAAACATTAACCACAAGAAGGCTAGTGTAGCAATATTAATTTCAGACAATGTGGGCTTCACAATAAGGAATATTATCAAGAATAAACAAGGACTTCACACAGTCCATTTTCTAAAAATAAGTATCTTTAATGTATACACACCTAACAGCCTGCCTTCAAAATTTGTAAGCCAAAAACTGATGGAACTAAAAGGTGAAATAGAAAAATCCACAACTGTAGCTGGAAACTTAAACATTCTTCTCTCAGTAATTGACAGAACAAGCAGGCAGAAAAATCTGTAAGGATCTAGACAACCTGAGCAATACTCAGCCAACCTCACCAGTACTCTAACAGATGTTTATGGGACACTTCACAACAGCAGAACATAACATTTTTCTTAAGGGCCCTTGGAACATTCACCAAGATAGACCATTTCCTGTACCATAAAGTAAACCTCAACAAATATCAAAGAATTAAAATCATACAGATTATATTCTCTGATCATAATGAAATCATAACAGGCAGGAGTCAAGATGGCAGAGAAGTAGCAGGCTGAGACTACTTCAGGTTACGGGAGATCAGCTAGATAGCTTATCTAAAGATTGCAAACACCTACAAATCCAACGGGAGATCGAAGAGAAGAAGAACAGCAATTCTAGAAACAGAAAATCAACCACTTCCTGAAAGGTAGGACTGGCGGAGAAGTGAATCCAAAGGGATGGGAAGATAGACCCCGGGGGGAGGGGCCGGCTCCCGGCAAGCAGCGGAGCAACGGAGCACAAAATCAGGACTTTTAAAAGTCTGTTCCGCTGAGGGACATCGCTCCAGAGGCTTAATCGGGGTGAAGCGCACGCGGGGTCACATAATGAAATCATAACAGAAAGGAAAAATCTTTATATATTGAGAAATTAACACACTTTTGAATAATCCCTGGGTCAAAGAGGAAATCTCAGGAGAAATTATAAAATATGTGTGTGTGTTTGTGTGAGAGAGAGAGAGAGAAACTTAAAGCATTTGATGTTTATATTAGAAAAGAGAAGGTACTAAATCAGTAAACTTTTGTTAAAACTCATAAACTCAAGAAAGAAGAGCAAACTTAACCCAAAGCAATCAAAAGAAAAAATTCAGAAATTAATGAAATTTAAAACAAAAGCAATAGAGAAAAGCAATCAAGCAAAGCCTAGTTTTTTGATTGCTAAACTTCTGGCCAAGCTGACCAAATTAAAAGAGAAAGCACAGGTTATCAATATCAAGAATGAAAGAGGTACTGGCAGAAAGGTGGGCCCCAGTGGACAAAACAGAGAGCCCAGAAAATAGACCTACACAAATATATTCTGTTGTACTTTGACAAAGGCAGTAAAGCAGTTCAGCCAAGAAAGGATAGCTGGTACAACTGACTCTCCTGGAACAGTTCACCATCCATATGCAAAAATAAAACCTCAAAATACAAGATACCTTATGCAAAAATTAACTAAAAACGTATCATAGACTCAAGCATAAAATACAAAACTCTGAAACTTTTAGAAGAAAACTTCGGAAGAAACAATACACCAAAAACATGATCCATAAAGAAAATTCTGATATATTGATGCTATCGAAATAGTTTCACTATCAAAAAGTTTTACTCTGTAAAAGGTCCTACCCAGAGAATAAAAAGACAGCCTACAGATGAGGAGAAACTGTTTGCAAATCACATACCTGGTAGAGGACCTGCTTCTATAATGATACACCTGTACATCTGTTAGGATGGCTAAGATTTAAAAAATAAAAAAATCAGTGGTATTGTGATAGCATTATATGGGGACAGATGGCAGCTACACTTGTGAGCACAGCATACTGTATGGAGTTGGGGAACTGCTGTGTTGTACACCTGAAAAAATGTAACATCATGTGTCAGCTCTACTCGGCCCCCTGGTTGGCTCAGTCGGTTAAGTGTCCAGCTCTTGATTTCAGCTCAGGTTTTGATATCAGAGTCGCGAGTTCAAGGCCCGCTGAGGCCTACTTAACAACAAAACAAAAACCCAGCATTCTAAAATGCCAAGTTCTGACAAGGATACAGAGCAACAAGAACCCTCGTATATTCATGCTTAGAATGCAAAGTCACACACCACTTGGGAAAACAGATCAGCAATGTCTTACAAAGTTAAATATATACTTGTCATACAACCCAAGAGTCCTCTCCTAGAGAATTTACACAAGTGAACTGAGAACTGTGCTTACAAAAATCTGTATTTTTCACAGTTGCCAAAAACTGAGAACAACCTAGATGTCCTTCCAACAGAAGAGTGGATGGATATACACACGGTGGTACATCCAGACAAAGGAGTACTGCTCAGCAATAAAAAGGGACAAGCCACTTATTCACAGCAGTATAGATGATCTTAAATGAGTTTTGCTAAGTGAAAGAAGCTGGATCCAAAAGACCATAGCATGTGATTCCATTTCTATTTCATTCTGCAAAATGCAAAACAGATCAGTGGTTGCCAGGGATGGAGAGAGGAGTTGACTGCAAAGGGTATTTGAGGTAAATTTTTGAGGCGATGGTACTATTCTGTGATCCTGTGCTGGTGGATGTACATATGAGTCCATGCTTCTGTTAAAACTCATAAAACTGTACAAAGAGTGGTTTTACTATATGCAGTTAAAAATCAACCAGGATTCCAGGGGAACTGCAGATGGAATACAGACTGTGACTCATGAATATGACTGTAGTACAAGTCTGTGACAGGATGATCCGGAAGGGGATGGGGAAGGAGCTCTCAGTAACTTTGGAAATGGTTTTAACTCTAGATAAAGAAAACAAAAAAATTAGGAAGTCGTTGCGCTCAAGATGGTACATTTGTTAGACAACACTAAAACAGTGAATACATTATAGATAAAGCCGGGTTTTTCATTGTTGGGCGGGGGGGAAACTTACAAATGAGCAAGGTGGTTGGGGGTTGGGGAAGGAAGGCTACAGTGAACACTGTTTCTGGGCTATTGTTGGAAGTTTCAGTATGAACTTACTTTCTTAACATATATAGATAGAGAAATATAAATGTATATACACGTGAATAGTATACCTCATATATTTCCTAGCTCTACCGACAGACCCTTCAGATAATGACGCCTGATAACTGAACACACCTAGTACTCAGATCTTCGTTTCTAAACATTCTCCAATAAAAGGAATCAGGACTCCTTGGAGAAATGATTGATTATAGAGTGGGGGCAATGAAAATACAGGATGAGTCGGAGGTGCCAGAGGATAAGGAAGTGCAGGTGAAATGCTTACAGGAACCAGCCTTTCCGAAGAGCTCCAGTGGCCCAAACTAGAACAATTTAAGCAACGAAATAAGTAACAATAGTATTGGATTAGTACCCAGGGAATAAAAATACCAAGTCTGTTATTGATAAAAATGATCAAAAAAACAGCTCTTCCTTAGAGAAGAGTTCTAATTATTACATGTTGAAAGAATGAGAGAAATAGCAAATCATCACTGTCATTACTACAGTACAGAGATCATGGCCAGGCAGGGTCAGTGGATGCTAAAATGAGTGAGCAAAAGTTTAAGGAGAAACAGGCTGTTTGCATAGCCTCAAAATGTCTCTCCCCAAATAAGGGACAAAGGGAACAATAGTAATTTTGCAGTGGGGAGTCCTGGAAGACGTGACTTTCACCAGCAGTCGAGTTAACATCACCAATAATGGAATGCCATACCTTCTGGTATGTGCTAAGAGGGTCACATCACCTCTTTGGTACTCTTCCAAAAATCCATGCTCTCTATCCAAGAAAATTTAAGACCCAAATTATGGGATGTTCCATGAGATATCCACCCAGTACTCTTCAGTTTTTAAGGTCCTACAAAATAAGGAAAGATGGAGGGAGCAGTCACAGACCAGAGGAGACTAATGGTATGTGACCGGTAAGGGCATGTGGGATGCAGCATCCAGTCCTGGAGTAGAAAAAGGACATCGGTGAAAGATGGGTGAAATCCAGGTGAAGTCCTGTAGCCTCAGTTATTGCTGTGTTCCTCTGTCAGTTTGACAGTTGTCTCATGTATCTTTGAGAGGCAAACCCGGGTGGGCTGGTGCTGGGTGTGTGCTGTGATCCTGCGCGGTCTTCGCAGCCGCTCTCTACGGGTAAAATTATCGAAGGATACCAAGTTAAAGATACACACAGGTGTAACAGGTAACCCCGAAAAGAAAAACATGTGGGCATTCAGGGTAGTCATTTGGCTCACCTTTTAGGAACAGGATGTCGAACACCTGCCCCTGTCTTTCAGCGAGACTACAGAAAGTTTCATTTAAGGCTCAGTCAACTGCAGAAGGTAAGGGCAGACCTTCATGGAAGCCTTCAGCAGCTGGTCAGGGCTATCTCTGTCTGGTCTTTCTTTCAGAGATCATGAAGCAGCTCTTAGAAGACTCAGAATTTGCCATATAAACTGTTTTACACCCTTGGCCTGGCAGGTGCAAGTGGAAACCACACAGCACTTACCTGCGGTATTTCCACGCGGGTCCTGCAGTTGGAGGCCTGAAGATCTGTGTAACTCCGCCGCTGAAGGGCCTCTCGCCCACATTTGAGACAGCAGTTGTAGGCCGGGTGATTGTTTTTCAGAGTCGGCAACCAGCCTGCCTGTGTTACCCTTTGTTTGCAGGTTGGCTGGCTTTCGGATCCGGGTCTCCTCCATCACTGATGCTTACAAAGACTTCCATAGATTGACGGAGAAACTTGACTCCTTCAAGTAAAATAAGAAAACACTAGCTAGCAGATTATTTCTAGCCTGCTAGTATTTTCTAAATGCTTAAGAGAAGAGCAAATACGTGTCCTTCATCTCTTTTCTGGACGTGATTTATCAGTTCAGTTCTCTTCCATTCTCATTAGCTTCATACATGTTACTATTTTTCCACAGCGAAATTATACACACGAAAGCTGTATTTGCATCTAAATCTGTGTTATCCAAGACTGTTATGAACTGCTGTTGGAGTTCTTGTTTCGTAACACTATGCTAGCTGCGGTGGGAAATAAGAAAACAAAATAATTCCTGCCGACCAAAAAGCACACCTCTAGAAGATAAATAATGGACGTGTTTGACGAGGTGGGCTAGGGATGTGAGGACGAAGTACTGTCAGGGTTTCAAGTATAAACCGGTGTCATGATGAGGAGCTCCATTTAAACACAGTCGCAGTAGCCCTGCGGTGTGTGGGTGAGGCCGACACAGGAGCAGACGAAGCCAGGGAGCGGGGGCAGCTTTAAAGCCCGGCCTTCAAGGATCTGAAGAATCTTTCTTCTGAAATCAGCTACTAGTGGAGATACGATAAATAATTTATATTTGTATTCATTGCGTATATTTAATCATCTCTTTAGAGTTCCAAGCAACTGCTAGTGTCCGAATAACATGTTTTTCTAAAGAAATATTTTATTTTTGAGTATCAACAGTCTTAGTAACTCTCGTATCCCTCTCATGTGCTGAGTGCAGTCGGAGGAAGAGGAATTGGAGTTGGTGAGTGTGCGTTTCTGCTTGAAGGGAGTTGCAAAAGATCTGGAAAGTACTAATTCTCTTAAGTGTTTATATCTAACCAGTGTTCCCTTTGTTACACAGTTTTTCTTGCTGTTATTAAACACTATCCTAGCACTTTTAATAACTGAACCATTCTGGTACTACAGAGTCCATCCCGTTTTTCTGCTTATAGTTGTATATCTTTACCCATTTTGTTTGTTGGAGGGAACATTGGAACAGAGCCTTTAAAAACAGTAGCCGTCAATGATCACAAGACACTTGCTAAAGATTTTTTTTAAGGAAAGATATAAAATACCTTATATAGTTCCCCAAATTATTAACATATTTTTAGAAAATGACTTCACCCTCAAAGTTCCTCGGATTGTAACACATGGTCTTGTGTTATTTCTCTTTCTTTCAAAAAGATTACATCATTTTTGGTGAGGTCACTTTTTTCAGAGTTGGAATTATTTCATACTGCATGAGATGATCTGAACCATAAGGGGGGGTTCCCTGTTTGCTAAAAGGAATGTCTGTAATTTAATATACACAAATTTATCTTTTTCTATCAGGACATACTCTGTTGTTAAAAGTAGCTATTATCTTTTTTCTGAAACAAATGATTTCTATTGGCTTCTCTTTTAGAAAATAAGTTTGACTAAAAATAACTTTCATTTTATCTCTTCTTTGGGAACTAAAACCCAAAATTCACAGAAATCATATAAATTCAGTCAGTTGCTAATTAGTGACTTTAAGGGAGAAAAACTTGAAAATGTTTAGTTTGTAGCATGGACAAGGGTTCAGATTGCATGAGAGCATGGGGGGAAGGCATCTGTTGGTTTTATTTATATTTTATTATTACATATATATGCATGCTGGTGTGTTTTGCACAGTTTGTGTCTTTTTAGATAAGGTTGTCTGTGCTCTGTCCTTAAACTGAGAGATCATTCTTTAACTTCGTGATCACTCACAGTTTTAGATGTGGTTTTGTATTCAGTAAACTATACTAGTCTGCCATCAATTGTGGTGTTGGATTATATCATGTGCAGATTTAGACTTTCTTCTGGAGAAATACTTTACTTAATGATACGGTAATAATTAGAAAATGGAAGTTTATAATTCAAGATAAAATGATTTGTCTTCGACTGTTTACCCTTAGGAAGTTAGTTGTCACAAGTGTTTCCTTTCAATTCTGTAGCAGTATGTTGCCCTCTAGTGGTCCCACAAGTCTCTTACTCAGAAAAATCAATGCCCTTGAGATTCGGAGCTTTGATGCATACGGCCAATATCTTGGCCTTCGCTATTGTACACACACACACACACACACCACCTCTTCTTGAGGTCATGCCCGGAGATTGCCATAGAGTTGAAGCCCTAGCATAGATAGAATTAGGCCAAACTGGGTCATGCTGTGTTCTTTCACCTACTGTCTGACTCTTTGAGTTTCCAGACTAAGTCCAAAGTGTATCTCTACCTCAAAAACTCATTAAAATTATTAAGGATGCTGAGATGAACGTGTATTCCCACTTACCATACATTGACTTCCACTCACTTGAAATTCACTCCCCAGTTACAGAATCTCAAAGATAAATTTCTAAATTTTTGAAAACCACAAGGTGAAGAAATCAAAAATGTTTGTGGTTAAGAAACAAAAACCTAACCAAAACTATGAACAGTTCGTATTCTTTAAAACTTAAGCTGATTCAGACTCTAAAACTTAAATCAGTTTTGAATGCAGAGCTTTGTGGTCAGAACCAAAATATAGCCCCGATGTTAACATTTAGAAAGTAACTCAGATTGGTTTGAACTGTCACGTATTACCCTGGGGGGCTCTGACCCAAAAGCGGGGAGGAACAGGTGCCTCGGAGCCACCCCCGAAAACTCTCATGGTGAGAGCCGGGCTGCCAAGATGTCTTGAGAAGCCTTGCTGTTCTAGACAACTTCGCTTCGTGGTAGCTCCAGGGGTCTTACCTGTGGATCTGAAGTTACGTAGAAATGTGGGCCGGAGGGTTTCTTAGGAGAGTCGTTTAAGGATACTATCTTACATTTGGGTGGTACTCGAGTCACCGGAGCACTTCCACCTCTTGGCTCATTAGAGCTTCCCAGTAGTGCCCAAGGCCGGCAGCACAAAGATCACTGTCTTCCCTACTGTGCAAACGGAGAGGTTCAGAAAAGTGAAATGATCCCCCCTCCCCAAGCTTAGGAAGTCGGGAATTGGGGACAAAAATGTAGGTGATGTCTCTATATGTGAAAGCCCTGGGCTAGTTGTGCTCTGGCCTTCTTGGGTGCTGAACCCATGGATCATGGAGTCTGTTCTCTTTCTCTGATCCTGCTTTTGGAGCATTCCCGGAAGCCCCTGTCGTGAGAAAGTGCTGTCACCCCCGAAACGTAGAGGAAGGGCCATGTCAGGCTGACTGGATTATTCAGTAGTGGGTTTTTTCAGTTCACTCCGGGTCCAGATAGGATCCGGTGTAGATGGAGTCGGTCAGCGAGCATTAGTGTTGCTCCATTTGCCGTCTCACGGGAAGCGCGCTAGTCGCAAGCTCTCCGCGCAAAGCCTCTCCTTTCAGAAGTCTCGGGAGCCTGTGCGGGGATGCGTACTGGAATCTGCTGCCAAGGAATAGGTCACTTTGGGGGCTGGTGACAGGGGGTAGGCTGAGCATGGGGGGCGGTGGGGCACAAGGGGGTGCAGGGGCTGTGGGGGCACGGGGGGGGGTGTGGGTGTAGCAACTGTGGGAGCGCAGGGCAGGGAAACTGGAAGCGAACTGTACTTCAGGAGGCCAGAACCTCACAGCACACTAACACGGGATGCTGCAGATGCGGGTGGTTTCGGACCCTAAACTTCCTTACGCTCTCCGGATACAAAAGACGTTTGGCTCTCCTCAGGGCTCCAAAACCTAGATGTTTGATTTGGGGCAGCCTGGCGGTATTTTCGTGCCAGCAAGTCCTTATTTATGGTAACACGTCAAAGCATTCTCACCCATAGTGCAAGTTTCTGTTTTAAGGATATATCCTTGCCACCAATAAACACTATGAAAGACAAGGGAAAACGAATAATTAATGTAAAACTATGTCCCTTGAAATTAAATATTTAGTTGTTCCCATTGGTATTTTTAAGGTTTTTTTTCACATCATCACTGCTTTAAGACCTAATGACGTTCACATCATAAAACTGTGAAAAATGTCACTTTTAAATTAAATGTTATTTTTAAAATACTAAGGCTGAATATAAATACTCAAATAATGACCCTTTTTTCTACTCTCTCACAGAATACCCAAAGGATAAGCAGTTCTCAAGCCACTCAGCCTCTCGCTACCCCAGTTGTGTCTGTGACCACCCCGAGCTTGCCTCCGCAGGGACTCGTGTACTCAGCCATGCCGACCGCCTACAACACTGGTAAGCCCGCTCTCTTGCCTTCTGTGGCTCTTCTTTGTTTGGTGATCACCATGTGCTTTTGTGATTTTTTTTTTTACAAGTATATTGATTGAAATCAATTATCTCCACTTATTTAGAGTCACATGTGGGCGTATTAAAAGACAAAGGTTAGCTTTGAAAAACGTACAAAAAAATACATTGTGGGATGATTTCCCGGTGTCCGCTTTTAGTTACCCTGACAAAGAAACAGAGAGCTGTTCCCAGAATCCCGGCCTGTGACCAGAGAGGACGAGAGCGCTGCTTGGCATTTTCTCTGGCACGTCTCACTACAGTCCTCCAGGCTGGCAGGTGTTGACCTGCTGGGGGGAGCACGGCCTCCGCCTGGACTCGGGACTCCGGAAAGGGACACGTGCGTGGCTGCGCCGGGCAGCTGGTGTTTTCCTCTGTGTAACTGCCTTTTTTAGTTTCTGTCCTTTGTGCCTCAGGAGCAAAACCAGGACGTTTCTTGTTTCTCCTCAGAGCCAGTCAGTCATTCCTCCCTTCTGAGAGGAGCTTCTCACTCATTTATGTTTATTTAGACGTTTCATCTTAAAACACCTATTGCGGGGGTCTGTAAGGCGAAGTCAGCACTGCTGAGTGATCGGAGAGGTGCCCTGGGGCACGCAGGCTGTCCGCAGAGGCCCGACACGCGGCAGGTGTCTTCCAGATCAGCCGTTCTGGGGAGAGGCAGAAGGTGCGGGGGTGTGGTTTCGCCTTCTCACCCGCTGAGCCAAACACCTGATGCTTCAAAGGAAGAAGGAAAGAAGGAAATAGTTAAGCGATACCTTGTCAGCTTTCAGACTGCGGTGCCGGGCATTCATCCTTTCAGGATTCTTATAAGCAGACTGTAATAAAAACCGTCTAATTTTAGACTTCAGAGTAAATGCTTTAGCACGGTGCTTTCACACTGCTGTCTGACGCTCCCTGCGGCCATTGATATATTTGCTTGTCATTTTAATGCCGTGTAGTTCATTTAAAACAGAATTTGAAAAGGTTTTGTTGAAAAAAGAAAGCCGCTTAGGAGAATGTCCACTACCTTTTCTAACAATCAATATAAAAAAAATGTCGAAACCTATTAAGTGCAAATCTAGAGTGAAGCAAGAGATAACACGTTCATAGAAATTCTCTGTCCTGGCGGTGATCGCCAGCTGTAGGCGCGCCCGGATGCCAGGGACAGAGCTTTTGTCCCAGGTTCGTGCCAGCTCAGGATACAGGCCGGAGCTGAGGTCCTAAGCGGCTGAGGTTAGCAGTTTCTGCTCTGAGACCTGAGAACGTGAGGAAAGAGGGGGTACACACGACCTGAAAGGTTCAGAAGAGCTCCAGTGGGGAACGTGGGACTGGAACTGGTTCGGAGCAAGAGCAGTTTCTTGAGCTTTCGTGACGGGTTTTCCAGGATATGTCCATGTGCCACTGTGCGTGCTTAAGAAATGCTATTGGATTAGCAAGAACTTGTTTTTTAAAAATCCAGAAAGAATTACCAAAACATAAAAACAGAGTCCGATTCTCTCAAAACCATCAATCACTTGGCCTCAGTCTCATTCCTTCTTTTAACTGTGACTTAGTCTCTGTGCTCATTTTCGGAGCATGTGTGCAGCTTAATCTTAAAAAACATTATTTTTACTCTGTCTCGTTGCCCTTTTTAAACACGTCCACTTTCATCTTTCTGTAGTATGGCATCTGCCTTTCTGTGCAGAGTCAGACTCATGCCAAATGGTCAGGAAAGGGATGAAGATAGGAGCAACATTTCCAAAAGTACAAGTTTTTATGTGGAAGAACCCCGGGTGCTTCGTCATGCCCCTCATAAGGTCACTCCGCAGCCCTGCTCGTGTACCCATTCAGCACATGTCTGTTGGACACTCGCTGTGTGGCAGCTATGGGGCTGGGCACACAGGAGTGTACGGTTCACAGCGGAACTTGGGACGGACCGCTGTGAGAATCAGGTACCACAGTCGTGTTAAGAGCTACGGAGAAGCCTCGCTAGAGGGGCGCACGTGACTCAGCTGGGCGGAGCAGGGAGATTGTTCCGGGGAGAGGGGAGCACGGCGTACAGAGGCTAGCAGACAGGAGCATGGCGGGATCAGGATGGCGCAGGGTGTGAAGGGTTGAAACTGTAGAGGGAAGTAACAATTTCTAGGCCACGTTGAAGAGTTTGGATATTGAGAGCACAGGGAAGCCAGAAAGTTGTAGGCAAGGAGGTATCGTGAGCCCATTTGTTACTTTAAGATCACTTTGGCTAGTGTTCATGGGGCAAGGCCAGGGGACCATACGGAGGCTAGCATGGTGGCCCAGGTAGTGGATCCTGATGGCTTAGACGAGAGCGGTGGCAGGAGAGCTGGTGAAACGGGCAGATTTGAGAGACCGCACAGAGAACTGACTGGCCTTGGTGGTTGGCGCTGGAAGTCGCGGAGAAGTATCAAGAACACCCACAGGTTTCTGGCACGACCGAGGGGAATATCGGTGCCGTTTATTAAGATAAGGAGCAGGTTTGGAGGAGACCAGTCCAGTTCGGGTGTCAGAGTTGAGGGGTTTGGAGAGACATCCAGATGAACATACCAAGTAGGTGGCTGGGTGGACCTAGAGGTAGAGAGCTGGGGGCTGCAGGGGCACCAGTGTGCACGCGGGACCCCTGCCCACCTCGGCGGGGAGTGGCTGAGGCGGTCGGAGAGCGTGGCGCGAGCCGAGTGTAGAGGCAGGCAGACTCCTGAGCAGCGGCTATGTTCTTTCCTCTCAGTCCCTTTTTCTATGACTGTTAATGCACTAGGAAGATGGGCTTCCTTAAATACCTCCCCCGAGACAGGAAAAAACAGTTAAAAGTAGAAGGGTTTTTGCCACCTCTCTCTGAGAGTAAATGGAAAAAACAAGTGTTAATGAAGAACTGAAATAGCTCGATGTGTGAACGGTGCCTAATGCCCTGGGTCTTGGCCAGAGTGATTATGACTGAGGCTTTCCGAGAAAATGAGCCGCATTCTCCGTGACACTCTTGTCACACGTAAGTTTTTTATGAACTTGAAGCTGTGTTGCACGCAGTCCGGGATCTCCGACAGCCCCGGGCCGCGAGCACCCGCTGCTCATCAGCTGCGCGCCGGCATCCTTCGCTTGGCCGCCGGGCTTGGCCCCACACGAGAAGGGCTGCTGTGTCCTTCCTGCTCCCCTCGTACTTCAGGAAGAGAAGAGCTGCTGATCTAGGCTCCATCCGGTCTTTCGCTGCTTTTCCCAGGGGGTAGCAGTGGGCACGTGTAAGGTGACCGCTGCGTACGCACGTCCCTTAGCAGTGGCCCTGCCATTATTTCTATTTACAAGTCTGGAGAAAGGATCTCAACTTTTTGTGAGACAGGAGACTGTAAACACGTAGTACAGAGTTGAGACGGACTTTATCGCGATAATCCCAGACAAGCAAATGCAGCTAGGACCTCCCGAAAGGAAAACTGTTGTGGGTTTAGACCTGTGTGTTTTACGTTAGGAAGTACCTGGCTTCCCGCAGCCGGGGTAACCGGCTTGTGCTTGGGCCTTCTCCTCACACACGAGTGATCCTTCTCTCCTTGTCCTAGATTACTCACTGACTAGCGCGGACCTGTCGGCCCTGCAGGGCTTCAACTCCCCGGGCATGCTGTCTCTGGGACAGGTGTCGGCCTGGCAACAGCACCATTTAGGACAAGCCGCCCTCAGCTCTCTGGTGTGAGTAACTAGAAATTGTCCCCGACTCTCTCCTCCCAGCCCTTGCACTTTATTTTTCTATCAGTTACAGTCTTTGGTGCTGTTGAATGCCATGTGACGGTCCTAGGAGGACTTCTTTTTTATGTGGTACAAGTGTTTGGAGAAAATATTTCCTTTACGTGCTTCTGGATAATAGCTTGGGTCCTGCTAAAACTAGGCGTTCCCTGAAGAGATTCGGGAGGCAAGGCTTCTCTTCTCTGGAGGTGAAGAAGCGCAGATAGTGACCAAGGTGTACTGAGGCACCCACATTCTCCCTGCTACTAGGGCTTTCGGATACCCCTGAGCCCCACCGTAAGCTTTTCTCACGCCTGTCCCCTCACCCTGCCCAGAAGGAACGTTCTCTGCGTTGAACTCTTCTCGGTGAGGGACGGTGTGGGCAGCGGGCTGGGATCACCCGCGTGAAACCCCGTAGCTAGCTGCCTTCACGCACAAGATGCCCACCCCCTGCTGTTGCTCCCGTCCTGTCCGTGGAGAAAGCCAAGGTGGTTTTCCTTGCATTTCTTCACCTGTTGGCCCTCGGGGGGGTGTGTTCATCCTAAATGAACGCACCACAAGCCGAAGGGGTCGCTCAGCTCGGGGGAGGAGCCTGTTCACACGCTCCGCTACTCTAAGTTGGCCCGTCTGAGGCGGTGTCCTCCCCTGCACAGCAGGGTCAGGGGACGGCCTTCCAGGTACTGCGCGAGCAGTGAGCGGTGCCTCTCCCAGGGCCGGAGCACAGGGGGAGCCGAAGGCAGGGGCTGTGCCATTCCTCTCCCATTCTGGTCCACGTGCAGCGGCAGACACACAGTTTTGGCTCCTTCATCTGCATAAGGACCAGGGGCTTGGGCAGGGGAACTAGCCACGCCCCCGGCTCTCGGCCATCCCGGTTTTGTTCTCCTCGCACGGAGAGGTCATTAAAACCAGTCTGGGCATTTGGACAGGCTCTGTCGGGTGGCGGCTGCAGTTATCATTCCAGTTACGCAGATGCACTCACCAACCCTCTAACATCTTGTCTTTCCTTCAGTGCTGGAGGGCAGTTATCTCAGGGTTCGAATTTATCCATTAATACCAACCAAAACATCAACATTAAGTCAGAACCAATTTCACCTCCCCGGGATCGAATGACCCCGTCAGGCTTCCAGCAGCAGCAGCAGCCGCCGCCGCAGCCGCCGCCGCCACCACAGCCTCCCCAGCCCCCCCAGCCCCGGCAGGAAATGGGGCGCTCCCCTGTGGACAGTCTGAGCAGCTCCAGCAGCTCCTATGATGGGAGTGACCGGGAGGATCCACGGGGTGACTTCCATTCTCCAATCGTGCTTGGCCGACCCCCCACCACGGAGGACAGAGAAAGCCCTTCCGTCAAGCGAATGAGGATGGACGCATGGGTGACCTAAGGCCCCCGGGCTGGTGTTCGTACTTCGTGATCCCGCAGCGAACTGCCCTACATATCTACATCGGTAAATAAGGACATGAGTTAACTATATTTATATGTACATACATACATATATATCCCTTTATATATATATATATGTATGTGGGCGTGAGTGTGTGTGTGTGTGTGTGGGTGTGTGTTACATACAGAATCGGGCACTTACCTGCCTCGTAGATCTGCAGATGTACGTCCCGTGGCAAACAAAGCGCCCCGTAGGCAGATTCTAGTCTGGCACTTCCTTGGACTACTTGTTTCATAAGATAACCAGTTTTTGCAGAGAAACGTGTACCCATATATAATTCTCCCACACTAGCTTGCAGAAACCTAGAGGGCCCCTACTTGTTTTATTTAACTGTGCAGTGACTGTAGTTACTTAAGAAAAATGCTTTGTAGAACAGAGCAGTAGAAAAGCAGGAACCAAGAAAGCAATACTGTACATAAAATGTCATTTATATTAATTACCCAGCCTGGCATGGGTCTCTGTTGCAGAGGGGTGCATGGGAAGGGCTGTTGATATTTTAAAACAAAACAAAAAAGCCCCACACATAACTGTTTTGCACGTGCAAAAAATGTATTGGGTCAAAGAAGTGATCTTTAGCTAATAAAAAAGAGAGAGAGTAGAAAACACGCATGAGATATTCAGAAAATACTAGCCTAGAAATATAGAGCATTAACAAAATAAATTAATATATTAAGTTATAATTGGACTATGTCAGAAGTTTCTTTTTACATTCATATCTTAAAGAAACTGATTTTAGCTCATGTATATTTTATATGAAAGAAAACACCCTTATGAATTGATGACTATATATAAAATTATATTCACTACTTTTGAACACATTCTGCTATGAATTATTTATATAAGCCAAAGCTGTATGTTGTAACTTTTTTTTTTTTTAAGAGAATAGCTTTATCTTGTTTTAACTTTTTAGTTTTATTTTAAGAGGGGGAAAAAAAACAAAAATATCTTGCAAGCAGAACCTTGGAAAAAAAAAGCCATGAACACTTATTATTCTATATGTAAATTAAAAGTTGAGCCAAACTCTTTTGTGTATATAGCATCTTAAATATATTATCACCTTTGATGTAAGTACCTATGTATTGTATGGTCACCAGATTAAAAAGTATATTTTTGTGGATTGCCGCCAATTTGGGGGGAAAAGGCGAGATCCTTATTAAGTAGAGTATTCACTGTTTAATATTTACTATTTTGTTAAATATACTGTACTTTGGATTTTAATTATTAGCCCAGTCTTTTCAGAGGATTGTATAAAGGGGTTTCTCCCCTCACTGGTGGTGAATGTGTGATGTTACGTTGTAATCTTTGTGCTGTACGGGTTGAGCACCATTATATATTTTATATGTGTACATAAATAGCAAAGTGGCAAAAAAAACTGGTGTTAAGTTCATCTTGCATAAATATAAAATGTGTTGTAACAGATTTAAGGCATTATTTAAAACTTGCCTTTTGTGAGGAAACCAATATAGTAGAAAAAGCTGCCCTAACCTAATATTAGAGACCATGGCAAAATAGTAGACGAGCACAAAGGTTTTATAAGTGGTAAATGATTAGGGAAAAATACTTGTGGGGAAGGGATCTTTTTTCCTGGCCCCTCTAAAATAGAATGATGCAGCTGGTTACAAAATACTACCATTCTGAGCTCTCGGTGCATCGAAATGGCACTTTGGTGTGGGGAGAAATTCTCTCCCGGGCACACCGCTGGCTGGCACGGCGCGCCGTCCTCGTGCGACCCGGGCCGCGCCCCGCTCAGCCTCCGGACGCGGCCTCCCTCTTACCGGAAGACGGCGGGGCCGCGAGGGCAGGTTCGTCCGTTTCCTGGGCTTGTGCCACAAACGAAATTCAAAGTCCTGTATATCTTTCACCGTAGATTTTTAAATACTCCCTTTCCCGAGAAACTCAAAATAAGGGTTTAAAAATTGCTGCTATTTTGTATTTTAAACGTAATGTTGAGCAGCTACCTACAATTTTTTACTTAGGTTTTGCTTTTCCCCCTAAATTGCCTTCCTTCTGACATTTTCCTCATACGCTGTTTGTGACAAATCATCAGCCAGACTTCCTGACTGACACATAGGTATTAGGTATAGGGGAAACCTGTGGTGGTCACAGCTACAAAATGGAATTCGGTTTTAGTAACAGTTCGGGTAGTAAATTTTGAGAGAGAGAGGCCCAAAAATTGGAGGGTGACGTGCTGTCTCCTCTCAGGATGGCCGTTGGGCTCTCGTTCGGAAAGGGTTAGTCTCTCTTTCGAACGTACGTACTTTACTGAACTGCAAACCGGCACGTTTCTTCGTAAGGTCACACCTGACGGAGACACGACAGTCTCCCGACACGGAATTTCCAAGATAATCCTTACCACTTTGTCAGCCACCTATAGCTTTGAAAGCGTTAAGTGATTCTTTCGTTACTATTCATGCACGTTCATGAACTTCTGCTGTACATTGGAATAGGAGTTACCACATTCGCATTTACTGTCTATTTTCTTGTGTGCCTTATGAGATGGCTTTTCTGACTGTATCTCAATAGTCTTTCTTTCTATGCAGGTTTATAATCAGTACAACTACTGTTTTCTAAAATACTATTACACGAGGCTCGGAGTTTGTATTTCAAGGACACTGACCAAGTAACAATGTATTCCGTTTTCAGGAAGCGAATATTTGACTGTTAACCCTTTTCCTGTCTGCCCAGTGTGACCTGGAGCGTGTGGACTTGACAGACACCCTCACCCAGACTCCATGTACAAACACCACATACACATGTACATCTCCTGGTGGAAACCAGCTCAGAGTGGGGAAGACACGAATGGTGTTTCTTTAGAACTGGCTTTTCTTACTGTTTTAGACTCGTGTGTTTTGTATGACACCATCACCAGAAAATTTTATCCTTCAGATGAAGTATTTTATTACTAAAAGACAAAAACAAAAAAAGCGTAGAGGACGCCGCACTGGTTCAAGTATGGTTTCCAACAGCTGCCCTTCCCTCAGTGCGCGAACCGTCCTGCATTGAGTGCGAGTCACCACTGTATGTCTGCAGATGGTCCCGATCAAAACTCCCTCTTTTGAGCCCTAATTATGTCCATTGTGTTAGAGACTAAATCAGGGGTTTGTTCTAAAAGAACAGTATGTTTTACCATTTCCTTTAACCATAAGGACAACTAATAAAGCATTAACCTATTTTCTGTATTAACCATCATGCGCACAAGAAATACATAGTAAATAAGGAACCAGAAAACTCCTGGCATTGGATCGTAAGAAGCTAGATGATTAGAATGTGAAAAAGATTTTACAAATGTAAAACTTTTATTTCTCTGTAGAAACTTTCTTCACTTTGCTGTGCAAGAAGACACTGCTTTGCTATATTTAAAATGGCTTTTTTAAAAAGAGATTTATGTATTTGGTAAATGTTTGTAGTCAACAGTTCACACAAGAAGCTGTACACGGTTTGATCATGTAAAACCGTTTGGCGGCACAAGCTGGACTTTGTTGCCATCCTTGAGATGAACCTTTTAAGAAAAATAAGTTAATCTCAATTTTTCCCTGAATGTGTTGTTTTTTCTTCATTATACAATAAATATTATAGTGAACTTTTTATCAAATGGTTAAGAAAATGCTAGAGGTTGTTGTAAACTATTTGTATCCTGCACTCACTACAGTAAAGACGGACTGGCTTTTCCTGTGTACTCCAGACTCTGTCATGTTTGCCGCCAGTCGTCCCCTGGCCCCGGCCCCGCCCCCGCCCCCTGATGCGTCTCCTGTCCCTTCCCCTCACAAAGGCCTCCTCCTGCTGGAGATCCCCTTTACCTACTTCGAGGCTTGGTCAAGGAAACGGCGGCGGCAGCTCACCAGCCTCGCCCACAGCTGCTCCTGAGGCCTCCCTTCCTGGGCTGCCCGGGTCCCTGCAGGAGGCAGCGGGCGATCCAGGGCCCAGCGCGGCCAGTCTGGCCCGTCACTGCGGCCGGCGTGGATGGGGCCGGCCCTCGCAGGCGCTGCGGGACTGCCCGCAGGACATACCGGCGGGGGGAGGGCGAGTTACTGCTAACCACGCTCGGACGATAGCGACTCGGTCTACCCAAAATGCACACCCAATACTGAGCGAGCGGCAGCGGAGGACAGATTTACTGAATGAGTTAGTTTCAAAAATGACAGGTGTGAAAACTTATCTTAAACTTGGCAGTGGCAAGCGTTCTCTTCCTTGGATTTGCCTCTTAAGCCAGCTCCTAACGGAGCACATTCTTGCTGTCAGTTAGATTAAAAGCTAAGTTTTTGTGCTGGTTTTACTCGCTGGCTCCAGTGAGGCTCCTATTAGCAGGTCTTGAAAGCTGGTTGAGTCCCGTGGCTAAAAATAGTCTGATCACAGCTGCAGCTGCTTAAAATCAACTCATCGAGATTTCCGAGCTCGCTCCCACGGGCGCCCTCCGCTAGCCTGGAGCCTGCTTTTAAGCTGATGCTGCCTGGCACCTGCCTCGAAGAGTTGTTTTCCATTGGAGCCCTCCGCCAGCCCGATGGCCCCAGCCTGCTCTCCTCTGCCCGGCCAGTCGCTCGGCAGGGGTCAGAGCACCACCTAGTCGTGGGACCGAGGAAATCGGTCGTGCTTTCCTATCCTCCACAGAAAGGGGGTTCCGGAGAGGTCCCTGGAACACTAAGGAGAGGGGCTCCTCAGGGGCCGGTGGACTCGCGCCATCACACCGCAGACAACGCTGAGCCCAATGTGGGAGAGGTGAGCCCTGGGCCCCAGCTGTCACAGGGTGTGAGCTGAGGACACGCTCTTCTCAGCCAGCCCCCGGCCAATGACTGCACACAGCTGGGCTACGCCCCTTCCCTCCTGCAAGAAATCATCCGCACTCCCAGCTCCCATCTGCTTCTGCTTCCAGACGACCCAGACTGACACGAGCTCACCCAGCTTTAGAGAATGCTTAGACTTCAGTCACGTCCTGACATCATCTGCCTGCTCACTCCTTACCAAAGCAGCTGAAGGCAGCTGGGGAAGAAAATCAAAATCACAGTTGTACTAATTGGTTTCACTGTATACTACCCATCCCGCCCCACTCCCCCTTTTAAGCTTTTTTTTAAACTTTACTTTGAACTTAGTTCTAACTTACAGAAAAGCTGCAGAAATCATCGTTTCCATATATCCTGCACCCACCTTCCCAACAGTTAACATCGACATAACTGTCATCCCACTGTCAGAACCAGGAAGCTGACGCTCTTCCAGGACTACTAAGCCCGCCTTCTGGTGTAGGCCAGCATCAGCACGGCCGCCTGTAACTAGCTCCTCCGGTGTGCATGCCCCCAGCACAGCCACCGGGGGGCCCTGCCTCCTGTTACTGGCCAGCACCACCATGCCCACTTGCAGCTAGAGTGAGTCCCTCTGGCCGAGGGCCTGCATGCCCTCCACCTCCTTTTCTGCAGCCTGACACCTGTCACCGACCTCCACTGCAATATGCATGCCCAGGGGTAGAGGGTGAAGTCCTAGGGCAGCACACTGACACTCAGGTCCTCTGCCAATGCCAGGGAGCCCCCAGTTGGCCCTAGCCCTTGCTACCCGCCCTGACCGCATCACGACAACTTTATCAGCAAGTGACCTCTGCCACTACCAAGGGGCCTACAGCTGGCCCCTCACAGTCAAGTGTGTGCACACCACTGGCCCCAGCCACCAATGCTGCCTGCTCTGGTCCCTAGCTACTAACTGGTTCTAGAGGCTGAGAAGCCCAGTAGCCCTTACAGGCACTGCAGCCACCTGCAGTAATCCCCAAGAACACTGTTACCAACAGTGTGGACCCCAGTGGCTTGAGCCAAAGAGCCATCATGCCCCAACTGGACCTACTGCTACCGCACACTCCTGCACCTGTTGCCCTGCACCACTAGACCTGGTCACAACGTGACCCGCACACCCCTATCTGCAAGTGAAAGTCTTCTCTAACCAAAATCAATCCATAAAGTCTGGAAGACGTGAGGGAAACATGTCTCTACCAAAGGAAGAGTCCAGTAACGGGACCCAAAGAAACAGATGCAGGTATTGCCCATCACAGGACTCAAAATAATTGTAGTACAAATGCTCAGAGCTACAAGAGAACATATAAGTGATTCAACAGTATGAGGGAAACCATACAAGAACAAAAGGAGCAGCTAAACAAAGAGAAAAGAACCGAATTTGGGAGCTGAAGAGTACAATGAACTGAAGAATTCGACAGCTTCAACAGCGTAGTTGAACAGAAGAGACAGGCAGTGAGCGAGAAGGCAGATCAGCTGAATTTAAACAATTAGAAAAAAATAATGAAAAGGCACAGAGCCTACAGGAGTTACGAGACACAATCAAAAGAAACAATGTATATATTACTGGAGTCCCAGAAGTAGAGAGGGAGAAAGGAATGAAAAGCTTATTTAAGGAAATAATGACTGAGAATTTCTTAGACATGGGAAGAGAAGTAGATATCCAAGCTCATGAAGCTTGGTCACCACAA